TCCGAAGCTTCTAGGGTCTCTTATTGTCCAAAAAATCGTCAAAAAGTTTTATCATGTTTAGACCTCTGTAGGTATAATTTTTCTGCGAAACAAAAAACATGCAAAAAATCAGAAATTGACACTGGGCACTAAATTAATAGGTTAGTCCAGAAAAATAATATAAAATAACATATAGATCATGTAAAAGTGATAATATAATAGCATTTAATAATAATAAAAATTATAGATACGTTGGAGATGTATCAGTACCCTAAATGATTATGGTTAATACGATGTATTCGCAGCGGTGATGTAGGGCCGGGTGAAGAAGAAGCGGGTGGGGACAAGGATAAGCGAGGATAAAGTTGGGGGAAAGGGCATGTGGGGCTAGGGCACGTGTCGCCTTGGTGAGGCGGCCGAACAAAGGAAGCGATTAGTCGGTTGAGTTTTTTTTTGGCAAAAAGCATTAAATCTATTACAGAAGTTCAAAAAGTTCATTGGAGGTACACAACATCTCAAACATAATAAAATTACATCGAGATTTCGAGACCACCTAACGACCACTACTACCGCCAAAATGAGCCACCGACACACCATTGTCGTTGCTCCCTTAACGAAGCCAGCTTGACCTTGTCGATGACAGCCGGGAAATCTTCATGCACGTTCCTCTAAGGACTACCACCCTGGAGTTGTAGTCGACACCGTTAAATCCTTGCATAGATATGAAGCACCGGATACCAAATCCCATCACATAATGAGGAACTCTAACTTCACCGCCTCAAAAAGATAGCATGAGTTGGGTGGTTTCCCTTTGTTTAATTCATGAATAAGCTAAAAATTTGAACACCGTAAAAGAAAACCTACTTTTTTGCCCGACTGTCTACTACATCAAGTTTTGCCCGACTCCGACAAGGGAGGGTCGATGACGGCGGCGCTCCTTCAGCTCGCTTTAGTTCTTAATAGTCGTCGCTAGGTGATCTATAAATGTAGATGTAATTTTTATTATTTCTGGTGTTCGTTGTACCCCCACGATTGGATATGAATAAGATCAGATGTTTTTCGGAAAGAAAAAAGCTATTTTTAAAAATGGGCGAACGCTTTGTAGAATCTTGGGAGGAGCGGCAGCCCCTCGCACCCCAGCTAAAGCAAATCGTTTAGGTGAGCAAATCGTAACAAATTTGTTTTTTTAGGGGTTGGTAACAAGTAAACAGGGCACATTCCCGGCTGTCTCTACTCCCGGGCGGCGTGGGCCCGAGATGCAGGCGTGGTTCTCCGGCTCTGGGCCCTCGCCCTCCTCGTCGGCGGCGTCTTCGCAGCCGCCGCCATCTCTGCTCGCGGAGTGGAACTCCTACGCCGCCGCCCGCTCCGCCGAGGAGGATGTCGGCGGAGGATTCGGGATCGACATCGAGGCCGCCGTCCGTTCCGCCAACGACCGCGTCACCGGCACCTTCGGCGTGTAAGCAACCCCCCTCTCGTCGTCACTCCACCTCCTCCTAGGGTTTGTGCAAGTGAATCGGGATTCGGTGGATTCTCCCCAGCTAAGCTTAACTACCGGTGCCATGAATAGATTGTTAGTAGCGTAGCGCTTCCCGGATCGCCTCCATGTGGATCGAGATTGCTTCGGTGCTGTTTCTTTTTGGTTACACATGTGAAGAGAATTTGCGCAGGCTTTTACTCCAGAGCTACTATTGTAAAATAGCTTCTTAGCATTGGCCAATTAGATCATTTTAAGCAGCAGTGTATTACCTTCGGTTATCTCAAATCGTGATTGAGGATCGTTAGTCAGGAGCAAGGTTTTGTGCTGAATTAGTCGCTTATTAGGTATAGACAATCAAGGAATCTATGTTTTCGCAAGTCACCATCGTGATTCATGTTGTAATGGCGAGCTGCTTAGAGTCATACATATGAAAGACATTTGTTAATTGTTAGCTCTAGAGCAATTTGAAAGGCTAAATATCGCAACAGCTCTTCAAGATTAACTAGAGGAACACTCGTAAAAGATGTCATTGACCAAACCTCTAGTTAACCTTTCTTTTGACTGTTTAGTTTTTTTTGCTGAATGCTGATTGCCTTGCCATTCTATTTTCTCCAGGGTATCTAAAGGAGTTAGAGGGTTCCCTGGCAGCTTCCAGTCCTCAACAAGCAGTGTTCCATCTGGCAAATCTCTCATGTATTTCGGTCTTTTTCTTGCCAGTGGCATTTTCCTAGTTTTCATCGCGTTCACAATATTCCTGCCAGTCATGGTAATAATGCCTCAAAAGTTTGCGATCTGTTTCACGATGGGATGTGCCTTCATCATTGGATCTTTCTTTGCATTGAAAGGACCGAAGAATCAGCTCTATCATATGATTTCCAGAGAGGTATCAATTCATTTTCCTTGTCCTTAAATAAGCACCATTCCTGGGAATCACTGTTCAACAAAACTTATGTTGTTTTCTTCTGTCTTTTGATAATTTCTATTTTACCACAAATTGCACATATTACATTGTTTCCATCCAATTCTCTCCTTGAAGATATTGGTTAAAGTATATATTGTATGTTGTAAACATTTTGCTGGGAGAGCATTTTGTACTTGTATTTTTCTAGTGATGATCAAACAATTCCTCTGCTTTGAAGAACATAAAAAAGAGAAGGATAATACATGGTCAAATTTATACAGTAAATAGCATGTCCTTGAGGCATTGATAATTTGACATGTTATCAAGTGAGCATCCAGTTGTGAAACATCAACCTGAAAATGCATTGTCAATGATTTTCTGCCAGTGGTTAAGCGCTTTTCTACAGAAGATCGAATGTGCATTGTTTTTGTTTTTTATTGTTCCATGTCAAAGGCATGATTAGTGAATAACTGAAAACATTTTTGTTTTAAAATGTGTTTTTAGATGATAACATACTTCCTTTTCACAAAATAATATGCACATTTTGGGTTTTATGTATTCCCATATATCATAATTTTTTTATTCCAACAGTTTATAGGGAACTTACTGGGTTGTTGATTTAATTCATATCTTATATTCTATATATTTAACTTTTGTTATATCTCGAAAATAAATATGTGTTTGGTACATTTTCTGAAGCTGTTTTAATTTTTTCCACAGAGGTTACCTTTCACCATTGGATTTGTTGGCAGCATGTTTGCTACCATCTATGTGTCAATGGTGCTCCATAGCTACATACTTTCTGTTTTCTTCTCTTGTCTTCAGGTGAGAATTTCTCCTTTACACCCCACAATCTCTTGTGCTGTTATTTTGTCCTTCTCCGGATGCTAGCAACTGGAACAACTTTGAAGAGAACTGTGAATTTGTAGCATGTGAATAGGTCATCAAACCCCTTAAAGTTGCAGTTTGTGGCATCGTTGGTCTCTGGTGACACTGGCTACTGAGCGCTCGATCACTTCTGTTAACTTTGAGCTGACAAAACTCTTCTATTTTTTCAGATCCTTGCGCTAGTATACTATGCCATCTCATACTTCCCTGGTGGGTCTGCTGGAATGAAGTTTCTGTCATCTACCCTTGTGGCCTCAGTGTTGAGATGCTTCGGGCGATGAGTTCACCCGTTAGTTGCTCTCACCCATCTGTCTCGCCCTGTGTTCAGCTCAGTGACAATTTTTTTTCTTTTGCTTTGACATGGAGAGTGTGTGTCAAAGATGACCTTGGAGCTTGTGTTCACAGATATACATGCATGTCCAACTTACCGATAGTATTACCGATTCCATGGAAACTCTGGTCGATGAGATGATTTGTTCTTTATGGAGACGTGTGGAATCGAAATTTAACAAACAGAGAGATAATTTGTGAATTTAGGAATGTCGCGGTATGATGCCTTGTATTCGATCTTGTATCGTGTACTGCCTTGGTTACAGGACATTACCCTTATTGCCTCAAACTTCCGTTGCCTAAATGGCGATAGTCCCTCGAAGAAGCTAGCTGTGGAGGGATGGCTCCGCATAGCAGGCTGAGGTCTCGTTCGTTAATGGAATTAACCGGACAAATCGCTCCGTCAACTAAGAACAGCCATGCATCAGGACTTCCCGAAAATTGAAAATTGGCGACGGTACACCAAAGCCCTGGACTGGACTGCATCAAAATATCCGATTTAAATATCTTTCAAATTGCGATGCCTCCGAAAATACTGAAAACATTGTTGTGGGCTTACAACGTTACACATCGTGGTGGCACCTCACTCTCTCACTCCACACTGGACCACAGCTCACATGTCCATGGCAGAGTGGGGAAATGTAATACATATATGTATGCTCCACCATCTGATGATACACCCGGCCAGCCCTGCATGGATAAAGTCCACATCACCACCACCACTTGTTAAGTTTTTATTTGGATCGACCTTCCATGGTGTCTACATGTATGTGTTCCTAGCTGCGAAAATTGTATTCCTAGTATTTTTGTCTGGCCAGCAGGCGGAGGCGGGTTTGGGTGGCGCGGCTCACCCCCCCTATCCCCCCGACCCCCAACGAGTGACCGGCGCCGCGCGAGCCAGTGGCCCGTGCATCACAGATCCCCCTCGCCCGCTCCGCATATCCTCCTCACGTCCAGGGTTTATAAGGGGAGAGAGATAGCTCGCACAGCCACCTCACAAAAAGCGCGAGCAGAGCAGCCTAGCGTTTGGATTTTGCAGCCGCCGGCCCCGGAGCCCCCTGACCGACACGGTCGCCGCCGCCGCCATGTCTGCCTTCGTCGGGAAATACGCAGGTTCTTGCCTTGTGTTTCGGTCTGGCTCCTTCGTTTCCTAGAGCCCGTGGTGCAACTTGTTGATGGTTTTTGTGTTATGATGAAATGTGCAGATGAGCTGATGAAGACGGCCAAGTACATCGCGACGCCGGGGAAGGGCATCCTGGCGGCGGACGAGTCGACGGGCACCATCGGGAAGCGGCTGGCGAGCATCAACGTGGAGAACGTGGAGTCCAACCGGCAGGCGCTGCGGGAGATGCTCTTCACGGCGCCCGGCGCGCTCGAGTACCTCTCCGGCGTCATCCTCTTCGAGGAGACGCTCTACCAGACGGCCGCCGACGGCACCCCGTTCGTGGACATCCTCAAGGCCGGCAACGTCATCCCGGGCATCAAGGTCGACAAGGGCACCGTCGACATCGCCGGGACCGTCGGCGAGACCACCACCCAGGGCCTCGACTCCCTGGGCGCGCGCTGCGCCAAGTACTACGAGGCCGGCGCGCGCTTCGCCAAGTGGCGCGCCGTGCTCAAGATCGGGCCCGGCGCCGAGCCGTCGGAGCTCGCCGTGAAGCAGAACGCCGAGGGGCTGGCGCGGTACGCGCTCATCTGCCAGGAGAACGGGCTGGTCCCCATCGTGGAGCCCGAGATCCTCACCGACGGGCCACACGACATCAAGGCCTGCGCCGCCGCCACCGAGCGCGTCCTCGCCGCCGTCTACAAGTCGCTCAACGACCACAAGGTGCTCCTCGAGGGCACCCTCCTCAAGCCCAACATGGTCACCCCCGGCTCCGACAGCCCCAAGGCACGTCCCTCCTTCCTAGTATAGTACCACTCAGTTGCTTGCTTCTCGCTTTCAGTATTGATTTGCATGGCTGAACGTTCTGTGAATGGTTGTGTGCATAGGTTGGCGCGGAGGTGATAGCGGAGTACACGGTGGCGGCGCTGCGGCGCACGGTGCCGCCGGCGGTGCCCGGGGTGGTGTTCCTGTCGGGCGGGCAGAGCGAGGAGCAGGCGACGCAGAACCTGGACGCCATGAACAAGCTGGCGGTGCTCAAGCCGTGGACGCTCACCTTCTCCTTCGGCCGGGCGCTGCAGCAGAGCACCATCAAGAAGTGGGCCGGCAAGAAGGAGAACGTCGCCGACGCGCAGGCCACCTTCCTCGCCCGGTGCAAGGGCAACTCCGAGGCCACGCTCGGCAAGTACGGCGGCGCCGCCGCCGGTGGGGACGCCGCCGCGTCCGAGAGCTTGCACGTCGCGGGGTACAAGTACTAAGGCACCGTCGCTCCCGCGCCATTCCCGGATCCAGGATCTCGGTGCAACCCGTGTGTGCGTGCGGCACATGGATTGCGCCGAGATTCGTGCGTGCATGCAGATATATATGCTCTTCCTTTTCTGCCGTGTACTTAAATTCTCTCTCCTCCCCGTTGCTCCTATTTAACCAGAACTACTGATGATATATAAGTGGTATATATGTGAAAGTGTGAATGCAACGCTTTTAGTATATGTTTGAGCTTGATTCATGAAAAAAAATTGAATATCGGTAAATACTGATAAGATGTATGGTCAGCTCAACAGAGATAAGATTGGTTGGTTCATCCTCAAATATTCTGGTGCTCCCCTATTTTTTCGAAACAGAGGCAAAATCTTTGTCTCATCTCATTAATAAAGAAAAAGAGAATTGTCCGGTTAATTAGCGAAAAACCAGTACAAGCACCCTCACCGACCATCATGGAACGCACAACCAACACAAGTTGCACACACCACCGCCGAAGAGAGAGCCTCCGTCAAGGTTGTTCGCCCTATATACATTATATACATAAAAGATATACTAAAAGAATGAGTACAAAATTGAATATTCAACTGTTATAACTGGTTTTAATTAATATACAATGCAAATGTCTTCCAAATTGGTTCATCCTATAATTTCTCTACTGTTCATTTTATTTACAAGAGAAAGAAATGAAAGCAATATGTACATTATTTTGTATGGATAGGAAGAGCCCTTTTGGAACACAGAAATTTTACCGAAATGGTTCGATCCAAATTTCCCTTGCGGGAAATGGAGAATAAACCCTGCAGGGCCTTGAATCACCAGGTAATTGAAGACACTCCAACTGCAGTAAGAATGCTTAAATTTATGGACAACAAGTAAAATTTATGCGGATTCTGAACATTCTGCACCGAGCTTCTTCAGTATTGGCGGCGCCATAGGCTTCAAAAGCTTTAGGAGGTTGCTCTTTGATCAGTACAGCCTGATCCTGGTGGTTATGTGCTTCTGGCACATAGGGCAGCGCACCAATTTTTCCCCGCAGTCATAGCAAGTCTAAATTACGCGTGTTAGCAATTAGTATATACAACAAGAATTGTGAATAAATATTAAGAGGAAAGTAAGGGGATATTTTCTGCACCTGATGTCCACATCCAAATGCAAGATCCTTTGATTTATCCATACATATGGCGCATGACTGCAAGCACAAAAATTGCAAAGGCTTAGTTCCTGTTCCACTAAAATTAGAGGGTCTTGCACTTAGCACTAGCAAGCTAAAGTGTATTATATTTGAAAAAGAGCATAAATATTTTACGGGCAGAAGTGAACCGAGGATAAACCAAAATTAACTAGCAGTGTTGTCTGAAATAGGATTTCCAATCACTGAAGTTCCAGGGGCATATCCAATAAAAATACACAAATTCTATGACAATGTGCTGCGACAGCTTTATAAAAAAACTAAAAAAGAGGCTACTACAGAAGGGTATGTTCATGTAAAAAATTCAACTTCACATTCAAAATACTTTGTGATAAGCATCTGCCTTTTTTGTATCTTGCAAAGTATTTCGACTTTGATGATGAATTTTTTTTGAGAATTTTTGGAACTTGTAAACGCTATTTGCACAGCTAGTGCATTTTCACCTAATAGTTCCCCTGTATAACCCTTAGCCTCGGCAAGTCTGAATATCCAAAAGTATTGGTTAACAAAGATTCTATCAGGGTTTTTTTGGCGGTGTAGATAAAGTTGGTTTAGTGCACAGTTTGATTTATTCATAACTGGGTATGAAATGGTGGGAATACGGTGTAAACACGAAAAGATACGTACAAGTGTGCTTTCTGATGCATAAGTGTCGGGTGTCCTTGTAACCGCAGGCTGCGAACTTCCTGATGAATAACTGTCAGGCCTCCTTGTAGCTCTATGCTGTCCCTGTTTGAAACTGTCTGATTGCTGAAACCCACTTGTTTGTTGGCCAAAGCCACTAGACCGTGAATGAACACCAGACTGTTGGCCAAAGCTAGCAGACCGTGAAGAAGCAGTCCTTGTTGGTGGAGGCAGAGGAACTCTTGGAGGTACTCCTTGGCGACGACTGAAACAGAGGAAGAGTCGAAGAAAGCGGTCAGACGGCAATATTGTCGCTGCAAGCACAAAGCATTTGTTCTACTCCACTTGACAAAGTGAGGTTGAAAAACTGTAAAATACCCAAGGAGTTGGAGATCAAGTGTTGCTTTGTACTGCGTAGGGATTTCCATCAGTGCTGACAAGGCAAACTCAGCCTCTTTTCTGTCAGCTGCTATGCTCTTTGACATAATCTCCGTGAAATTCACAAACTGCATGAGATCAAGTGTTCTTCCACGTCTCAGTTATTGTGAACCAGAAAAACAGCTAAAGGTTAGATGTAATTTGTACCTGGAAATTGTCGAATGACCGAGCGGGTATGTTGTCATCAAACTTATGCATCATATCCCATGGTCCATCACCGACCCCAACGAGAACAATAGACAAGGGAAAGTGGCTGGAATGTTTTGAAAACAGATGTTATTGTGTGCAATTTGTTTAGGAGGTTTCGCTTATCAAGGTGTTACTTAAAACATCCTGAATCAGATAGATACCTAGCTTTCACTATAGCGTTAATGGTGTCCCACTCCTGTGGGCTTAACTGCCCAGACTGTGTATCCACATTTCGAGTAACCTATCAGCACAACTTTTAGCCGGAGTGAAAATTGGATATAATATACAAACAAGACTCTGCAAGAATTTCTTCTGACCACCATTTAATGGTTATAAAGAGGATGCCACTCAGAAAAACACAACTAGGTAAAAACTGTGGTGCACCTGTCCATCAGCAATTATCAGAAGAACATGATATTGGCCACCAGTGCTGTCCACGATCCCAATTGCGGTCTCGATTATTGGAGCGAAAGATGTTGGTCCTGTGCAAGTTTACATCCAGATTATTTCAGTACATTTTTTTGGTGTGAACCCACTTTTATGAAAATAAAGGAAGAACAAATCTATCTACATTAAATGTTTATTTAAACAAACCAGATAATCGAAGAGCTGGAACGATTTGTCTGTATCTTTCTAATGCCTCTTCAAATCCAGTGCAAGGGCGGTCCTCTGGATAAAAACTGAATACGTCCTTGTCATGAGTTGACGCTGCCAGCAGGGAAGGGAAGCATTAGAGCATCTCCAACAGCAACCCTAAATATGCAGTTGTGGTGCAAAAAAATTGCCTTTTCGAATAAAAAAAATCGCCTCCAACAACAGCCCTATAGCTATAGGATGCCGATAAGTGCCACACGTGTGGGCGTTAGGAGGTCTGTCCACACATTTTGTGTGGTGTATACCCCACGTGACAGTCACCGCGCGCCCGCAGTTGCCATGGTCCAGACCCTCGTCCATGTTCGTTTAACTGCAGTTGCCATGTCGCTGAACTACGGTTGCCATGTCGGACAACTACAGTTGCCATGGTTGCTCAACTGCAGTTGCCATATATGGTCTGGTCTACTGCGGTTGCCACGATTTCAAAACTTTAGGAGTTGCCACCTACTAACACTAGCCAGTTGATAGAGTTTCCATGTGCTCACAAGCACGCTAGGGCAGTTGCCATGTAAAAGGAAGAGTTGCCATCTGCTTACGTCACACTAGGGCATTTGCGATGTACAATGCAAAAACACATGGCAACTCGGGTAAAAGAGAGTTGCCATCTGCTTACGTGCACACTAGGCAGTTGCCGTGTACCCTGCAAAACACATGGCAACTGACATGTTCGGGTAAAAAAAGAGAGTTGCCATCTGCTTACAAGCACAATAGGGCAGTTGCCATGTACACTGCAAAACACATGGCAACTAGCAGCTTGGGTGTGGAAGAGAAGACGGGCGTGTGGGTGAGATGGCAAATGCCCACACACCAGCCCTTGTGCGTTGGTGGAAAGTGGCGTGTGGGCGAACTGCTGAACGCCCACACACCGGCCCCTCCCGTGTGGTGAAACGGCCGTGTGGGCGACCGGATGAATGCCCACACACCAGCCCAGTCCTACGTGGCACTAGAAACATGCCAAGATTCGTGCGCTCACAAACGTACGTGGATCCACGCGTGTGGGCGAGATGCAAACGCCCACACGTGTGGGCGTTAGTGTTTCTGTAGCTATATGGTGATGCAAAATTTTAAGGTCGTGATGCAAAAATTGCTACAAGTGATGCAAATTTGCATCAGCACTAGTAGCTGCCCTAAAATCGCCGTGGCGGGAACCCAACCGCCGTGCGCCGCCACTTCCATGGCTGCCCCGAGCTCCACCACTTGGGGGCCACTGCCGAGACCCCCACGACCGTCGCTGAGCTCGTGCCGGTGCCAGCCGGTCCCGCCCAATTCCAGGCGTCCCACCACGCTCCACACCATCGGATCCGCTCATGCCGCCATCCCTGAGCAACATGCCGCCATCCCCACACTTCCCCGCCGTTGGATCCGCCTGCCGTCCCACCACGCTCCACACCATCGGATCCGCTCATGCCGCCATCCCCACACTTCCCCGCCATTGGATCCGCCTGCCGGCCCCCTGCCGTCGGATCCTTGTTTCATGTTGTTCCCAAATTATAGGGCACCAGTTATACGGCTGCCGGAAAAGCATACAAATTTCTGGTGACCCAAAAACTTCTCTTTCCACACCTAAAACTGGTTTTGGGTCACCAAATTATCGGGATGCTGTTGGAGATGCTCTTATCCAATACCATTCCTTTACACTTTCTATTGGAAACACACCAAGCGAGCAATTTAAAAGAAAACCCTAACCATAAGCTTACCATCACCAAATCCAAAGCAGGGAATCAAATTGTCTTCATCAAAATCCGAGAGTGTCCTTCCAATAATAGATATGGCTTGCTCATACGGGTTTGGAGTTCTTCCAATATCATGCAAACAACGCCGATTATATGAATTTTTTCCTAACATGAAAAAAGCTTAACAAGTTAAATGAAAAAAATTATGGTCTAATATAGACTATTTATG